TGATTTCATGCTCTTCTTAAACAGGCTGCCTGAATAATTGGATGCTGCATGTTTTGACACTGACAGACTGAGGGGTTTCCTAATGGTGAGGGTGTAGTACTTCGAAGACCTTAATTTTTTGTGCAGTGTTTTGAGTTGGTTATTCTTCAATCATACCCTACAAATATGTAAAGAGAAGACAAAGAGAAGGTACATTTTTATCAAAACCTGTGCAAGTCAAGAATTATAACGATTTCTAGAGCTTCCTATGGAAAAACATAATTTGCATGATAAGATCATACTTACTGATTTATTGTGTCAAATCACTAGTCACCCATAGGCCATTTAATGAAAACTAAATATATAAAATGATTGTTTTGCTGGGAGCAGGGAGTACAGACATCTTCTCACTCATATGGAAATTATGTGCAATTAACCCCAAATCTCAGGTGGCCAGACAGTGTAAAACAGCGAGTAACAATACTGCAGCATTTGATTTATGGGTAGCTGAGCACTGCAGACAGCTAAGACTCCTCCTTAGCTTGGCAGCGCCTCTTGTTTTTGCTAAGATGACTACCGCTGCAGACATCTGTTGCCATTGCAGGATCGGAGCTGGTTTTGCCTACCCGTGAGGTCCTCCCTTGGTGCCATTGTCACTTTTAGCAGCTAGAATATTCTGCCTTCATCTGGATAGTGGGGAAGCTAATACGCTGCATGGCAAAATCACGAAACACGAAAAATCAAACCCAGGTAAAAATGAGAAATCAGATAGAGCCACATTGGCAAGCTGCTTATCCCACAACTCATGAACTCTCTTTTCCCACCTAAGTTATCAATACAAGAAGGCTTCTGTTAAATGGGGTGGTCCAGAAGGGCCGGGTAGCAAATTAACCATGGGCGTGTGAGTTTCCACTGATCCTTCCACTGGTTTTACCTGCAGCTGGGTTTTGAGTGTGTTCTTTTTAGTTTTGTTTTTCCCCAATAAAATTCCTCACTGCTGTAAAGCTGTGTGGTTCCTATTCCAAAAAGTTCTGTTAACTCATGCGACCTCTGAAGGAATTAAACATGTTTTGCTTTCCTAAACAGAAAGCCACTAGAATATTTACATAGTGGAGTAGTCTCTTAAGATTTATCTCCTCCTTCCTCCTAGATTTTAAAAGAAAATAAATTCCACTTGCTTGAAGTTGATTTTTGCTTTAATATCTTTAATGATGTGTTGAGGACAGTGGGCTGGAAGCGCAGGGATTAGAGTGCTCGGTTCTCTTCTCAGTTTTGTCAGGGACACGTGTTAATTCAAGTAAACTCTGACCCTCCTCTTCTCTTCCTCCCTAGCACACTCTGTTTTCTATTGTGTAAAAGAAGTCTAATGATACAGATGGCTTTAGATTCTTACAGGTTTATTTAATATTGAAAATAATACCTTTCACAGAAACACAAAACATTTTTTTCTTGGGTTTATTACACTTCCTCTTAATTCCTGTAGATCCTTTAAATCACATTTTAAATGTCACTTTTGAAGCACAGTATCATGTTCAGTGTTTAAAAACTGAAAAAAAAAAATTTGTACTTTCTTCACTATCCTCCCATCTGCCAAAACTCGGGCCTTTTGCAAAAATCAGCAAATTGACGTCAGTTCATTTACCCTTAGGGATAGTAAATTACTACACAGCTTAAGTTATAAAAATAAATAACTAAGCATGATGGAGGAAAGAGATGGAAAACAACAAAAATCTATCACAAACTCTCCCTGGATTCTGAAGACTATATGATTATAGCGTTAAAATGTCCAAACAGTGCAACTGAGCAGAAGGCGTTAGAGCTTGGGCCTTAGCTGGCGCTGCATTAAACTGTGTTAATGTTTTTATACAGCCTTTGGAAAGCTCAGAATTGACCTGTTTTTATTATTTTTATTGGCTCCCTTGATAATAGACAAATGGGGCTAACCTGAGGCCAACATAACCAGCAGGAAATTTGGGTCATGGGTAGTTACATTTTTAAAACTTGTGTTTTAGGGTTGTTCAATCATGGTAATTGATTGATTGTTAGGCGGTGCAGGGAGCCCCTAAATCATTGGAGGTGGCCAGATAATGACAATCTGCCAGCGGATTTTGTTTGAGGGAAATTTCCCAGCTCCCTGTGGAGCTGTGCTCTGCAGTGAGGCTGTGAGTCCCTTTTTTTTTTTTTCATGCACACTCCAGTCCAACTGGCCTGAAACTTGGCAGTTGCATTTGAAGTCCTCTGTAGTGCCATTTCCCAAGAGATAAGGGAAAAACATTCCAGAGAAGTTCATACCCCAGAAAGACCCTACGTGTGTTCTGAAGTTATTATAGCTCTTTAATATTTTTTTTCTCTTTCATTTTTACTTTGAAGATAAGAGGTGGCAATTGTTGCTTTAAGTTGTTGAGTTTTAGCGCACCCTCCAGTAAATCATCCTGAAAGTTTAGACCAAATTTTTTTTAATCATATCTGTTTGAAAGTTTGCCAGAGATGCTGTACATGTGTACTCTCAGGAGCTACTATCCTCAAGCAGGAGCTGTTGACCTTACTGTTTTATACGACCACGTGCATCCTCGGTGCTCCATGTATTTGGATAATTTGTACATGCAAAATAGAGCTTTTTCAAGAACTCATCTGTGATGTTGTAGGAGCATGCTATGAGATATTTAGAGATGGGGTGAAGTAGAGAGTTTGTATGTTGGGAGGGCAGGAGGGAATAGATGATGTGCCAGTAGATGATAGATGATGTTCAGTAATACGTGGCATAGGGCTTGCCACTTCTTAAAAGTGAATCCAGATTAATATAGATTGAAGTTTGTCATCTATTCTAGAATAACTCCACATATAGGTTAATCTTCAGTTCCTGGATTTTTAGGACTGATTAGGCTTTTGTTGCATTGCAGGTAGCTTCCTCCCGGTAGCTGCATACCTCTGAATTCCTTGAAGATTTGTCTTTTTCCATTTTAGGATCTGGATGATTTGAAATTTGTTGTAGTAGCATACAGATGAGAATTTGTTTACGGGGTGTACTGAACTGAGGGCTGGGCTCGGTTGAAATTTGGGAACCAACAGCCTTGTCCTGACAGTGGCCCAGCTGCCAGCGTATGCCAGACCAGTGCCAAACACCATAGACTTGCTTTCCTGGTAGAGCAGCGCCTGGGCTTGCTACACATGTGATTTAATGCTCCCTGCCCAAAGACACGCAGGGTGCCAAACCCTTCCAGAATTCCTACATGTTCCTTTTTGGCTCCCAAATGTTTTTGACCACTGTAGCTTTGTAATTTACTGCTTCAAGTCCACAGTGTGCACTTACTGTTAGGTTTAGCGTGTGGGTAGTTAGAGAATTCTTCTCTAAGGTATGCATTCGAATGGAAACATAACATCTGACCACATTAAAGTCCCTTGAAAGATGGGTCCATGGCAAAACTTGTATGTCAGGAGCAGGGTGGGGCTCAAAGTCCGGAGAAGTGTTGTTTCCTATAGCACAGGCTGGAAGAAAGTTTCTGGAGAGCTTGAGTAATTTGTGCTTTCTTTATAATTGCGATCTGTAGTGGATCAGTGTAGGTATAAAAATCACAGTTTGAGATACCTGTTAGTGTTTCTACAATTGTCAAAGTACAACTAAAACAAAATACAACCAAACCCAGGATCTCATGAAGTATGGAGTATGCCAGGAGACAAAGCTTTCAGTTTCCCCGTGCCTAAAGTTAGACTCTGAAATCCCTGCCCAGGTTTCAGAAAAAAATACTCATTTGTCAGAAGAGCACAGAACTAAATTAATGCAGTCAAAAGCAGTGGTAAACCTAATTGCATGATTTTGTTATTGTACAAACCTGGATCTCTTTTGGTTTGGGGGTTTTTGGAATGGGTTTTTTTTGTATTTTATTTATTGTGAATCTATTCAAAAGGTATATTATTGGCTGTGGTGTCCATTACCATGACTAGTCTGTTTGAAGTTACTGTAGTGACAACCAAGAATGAATGTTTGCAGACTTGAGTCATTGGGTTATAGGAGATTCAGTGTTTCCCTGTACACTATGAACCGACCCACAGGTTTTCCCAGGGAGCTGTGTGGCGATCACAGGGCAAGGGGCAGGGTACTGAGGGTGGTGTTGCAGGACACCTCTTGGATGGATCCGGCTGATCACTGCCATCAAGTGGGGAAGACTCTGCTTCTCTCCTCCCACACCTCCCTTCCCACACAGCAGCGGCGTGCTCCTCCTGCTTGCCTTGCACCGGCCCTGCTTCTCACCTGCTCCCACTGCTGAGCTGCAAACTAACGCGCAGCAGAAAACCAGTGTGTGGAGACTTCATGTGTAGGTGTGTGCGCACAGTGAGGGTGGTAGTTTGCCACTACGGTTAGTCACTCTGCTGTCCTGAGTGGCAGAGACCCGCACAGTGTATCTAAACCCCAGCCCTGGTGTTACGTGATGTGGATGTCAGCGTGGCATTTCAGGGGATTCATGTCTGAAGTGTCCTGTTTGCAACCATAGGAAAGCTGTACGGACGCCTCTCCCACAGAGATGAGGAGACACAAGTGCGATTTCAACTACTAAGGACCTGGGACATCCCAGCATACTCCGTTTCCCCCTCCTTTTCCCTGCCAGCCTTCCTCTCCTCATACACGTTATGATCATCTTTCAGCCTCGCAGTCACATAGTTGTCCTCGCTTCCATGTGGCCTTTGCTTTACTCACCTCGCAGCATGGATATGCTGTGGGAATGAGCCTGACCTGTCTGGCCAAGAAGGCTCTTTCCATGTGGAAGACCCCTGTTCCATGGCTTGAGAAGCTGGCGAGTGTGCTGTGAAGGAGGCAGAGGGAGAAGAGGGTCAGGGCGCATGCCAGGTGATTGCTGCCCTGTCCTCGCTCCTGTTGTACGGCTCCTCTAGGAAACCACGCCAGTCACTTAAACTACACACTTCACAGATGGTTCTCTCTGTTTCTAATTTTCTGAGTTTCTGACCTGAAAGTATAGGGTCAGGTTTGTGGATGTGCTGGAAGCTGGCAACAGCAATGGAAGTCAATGGGAGCTGGGCTTCGAGCTCCCCTCAAGTACAAAATCAGGCCCAAGGAGGAGGAGCAGAATTTAGAGGAAGTGTTTGACCTTGTGTTTTGTACCATTTTTACCCGTCCTCTCATCTTACTGGTACATGGAGAAGATCTAATCATCAGGCTTTTCAAGTGCTAAGAGGCTGCAATCATGAATGCCTAGGAAAAAACTTGTAGGAAACTAATACGTTTGCTATCTGAGCAGCAAACAAGTCACAGGACGAAGTGCTGACAAATGAGAATGCAAACATTGAACAATGTTTCATTAAATGAGCACTGCTATTATGAGAAATAATAACTTGCAGATGCAGGCAGGAGTATGTCTGGTGTCTGATAAGCACTACAGCGTTAATCTGACATGATCTTCCTTCTGTTTTTCAGACTATTGGCGAGTCAGAAATGCCCAGTGTTTTGAACCAGTTATTGCCAATGATCAAGTCTTACAGTGAGAGGACGAAAGATGATTATACCTGTGAGGACTTCCTTGTCTTGCTGGTATACATGTATTCTGTGGTTGGAGAAATCAGAAGTGGAAAAGAGCTGGACGCAGCTGAAGAAGAGGTGAAAAAGGCCCTAGTCAAGGTCATTTGTGATGAGCCAGAGCCATCTCCTGTGTTGCAGAAAATAGTAGGTAAGATTTTGCTTTTGTGGTGAGAAATTGGATGGCTGTGAACACGGGAAGTGGGAGAAACATATAAAAGTGGCTTGACTCGTCTGTGGTGCTGAGGGTACATGAGTAAGCACAAGGATTTCCTGTAGATTTGTTCCATCTCCCATGTTCATGTATGCCAAATGCTGACAGGCTGTCCTTGAATAGTGCTGAGTCCTATGAAAGCTCTACAAGTTGTTCTTTTTGTTAAAGGTTGGCTACGTTTGTGTGTTTTCATAAGGTAATCTTTTCCACAATTTCTTTCATTGATCAGTGTAAAGTTGACCCTGGGAAGTCAAAATTAATCCTGGAAACATGTTCAGTGAACCACAGTTGCTTTGTGAATACGAGAAGCTGGCCTGTCTGGCATAAAAGAAGAAATGTGTCTAAAACCAACATTGAGCTTTTTGCTGAAATGACATGAAATTAGCTTTTAAAAATAGCACGCTAAGCCCTTTTTTAGATGAGCACTCATAGAGTAGAAAAGCCCTAATCTTTTGCTGCCTGTGTCACGTTTTAGAAAAAAATAATTGTTAAAAAACATTCATTACAATGAATAAACTATGGCTCAAGGGTGGTATATCTGAGTGGCAGAAGGGATCTTGCTTCCTGCTGTCACTTTTCTCAATATTTACTAATAGAGAGCAGGTCGTTGACCAGGTCACCTTTGAGGTAGGGAGCATATGAACATAAATCAATGTTGTGAGGAGCTTACAATTGAAAGCCTTTGCCAAGAATGGACCTAAGTGGGGAGTCTCAAGGGCAGTGGAGTAATTCTGCTGCCGGTTATTCTGGTATTATTCCCTGTGGATGTTTCAAAATATTGGTGTGGTCTGACCGGTCTGCTGTTGCTTTGAGTGTAAAATAGTTTCATGGTTAAAAGACTCTTACTGTAGAAATGGGCACGTTCAGTCGTATTTGCACTGTGCCATTATTTTAATACTCCTGGCCATGGTGCCTGCAGTGTTCCAAGCTTCTTGTAGACTTTTGCTCCCCTGTTTTTCACTATGTAATGCACATCTCGTCCACTATATGGTGCTTCCCTCACAACTTCCGTGGTGTCTTCTGCTGGATACGGTGCAGTCATTTTTAAGCCTCAATTTTCATATTTTTTCTTTTCTCCTATGATCGATACTGTTTTGGATCACAGTTTTGTGAGTTTCCCTTTGTTGTGCCTAATGTAAGTGCGGGAAGATTTGAAGTCTCTAAAACTTCAAGCGAGTTCCAAAGAGAGGCTGCATTCCTGTGTACATAGATGCTTGCCTTGTTGCTCTCTATGCTCTCAGGTTATGTACAGGTGGAGATCAAAATAGACATTGTGCTTGTCTTCTGTTCCATAACCTGTCAATAATTCCATAGTTTTTACAAATACCCTTGTATGCCTTATTTCCAGTGTGCATGTTTCCTGAGTAAAAGTGAATATCTGAGTGTTTGCTCTCAACTTGTGGGCAGATGAACAGGTGAATGAATGTTTCATTCAGCACTTCTTCTATCTTTTTACATAGTGGGCGGACTATCAGAAGCATGGTGCATGCCTGAAGTACAGCATTCATCTCCTTAGGCATAAGTACTCGCTCTGTTACGTGGAGCATCTGACTATGGAAAGCCTTAACACTGTGCAAGCACTGTTAAGCAGCAGCAAAGCATTTGCGTGTTATCAACACAAGTTTAGCCACAAATCCAAAACACAGCACCATACTAAGCTGCTCAGAAGAAAGTTAACTCCATCCCAGCCAGACCCAGTACAGGTACTTTTAGACCAAGCGCATCATTATTACATTATGTAGTTAATTGCATAACACAAAGCTTGACTCTATTCTGTGTGTTTAGCACAACCATGTTTGTGCTTTCTGCACAAGTGTGTGATAGTATTTCTGCTTGCTTGCATACGTTTTGGTTCATCAGCATTCTTTATTTTTACATCTTATTTAGAATGACAGTTCTTTTGACTTATTCATAAAAGAGGGGAGAAGAAATTATTAAGACTTATTGTATTGCCCAAAAATACGGATTGTCTTGGGAGGAAAGTATAAAATGGAATTTCTAGGAATGCCCCTTAGGTAGTTTTCAAGCCTTTTTTCATCTAACAGATTGCTTTCTCAGCATTAGTGGAATTTGCTGAATTTGTGATTTGCTATATTTGCAGTACAGTTGAATTGGAAAGACTAAGAAAACATGAGCAGCCTTAGACCTACTCTTCCTTGACCTGTATTTTGCCAGGCCTGTGTTCTACATCCCGTTTCCTTCTGAATCTTGGGTACCTTGCTCACTGCTTGAGAGGCAAAGCAAGTCAAAACGGTAGCAGCACCTGCAAGCATTCTTTCAAAGGCACAGCAGGAGGACTTTCTTTGTAGCGGGGCTGAAAGTCGGGGAGTAGGTGGCCAGTGCCGGTTTTCCCTTTTAGTACAGTAGCAGATATAATGCCGAGACATCTTCTGCTTCCAGCAGACCATGCTATGAACTACAGACCTGCTATTCCTTTCAGCAAGTAGAGGTTGGCCTGTTTTTACGAGGTCAGCCCAGCTCTGCAAGTTAGCAACAGCCACGGGTCTGGACAGGTTGTGAACCTACAGCATTCTGCCCTCATTTTACTCTAAGTCAGAAACAAGAGCAAACCTTTTCTGCTCTTAAATGGCCACAAAAGTTAATTAGACAAAAGTCAATTTCAGTAATTCCTGAAATCTTTCATTCATGACCAGAACAAAGCAAAATGTTCACCGTCTTTTATTTTGAGTTTTCCATCAAGGTCAATGATATGAAGAATGTTAAATTGGACATGTCAAGAGAGAAAAGTAAGCCAGTTACTGGGTAAATTCGAGACACTGCCTGCTGTCTCACTCCTTGCCTCCAGGTTCCCATGTGGAACCCGAGTTCCTGAATATTTAATATCCATTCAGCAGTAAATCTGTTCTTACTAAGGAGCTTAACCTGCAGAGTTGCAGGTTTAAGTTTCAAACCCTGCTAGCAATGCATGATTGGACAGCTTTGGTTATAGCAACAGATAGCAAAATTCATAGTTGCCTTTAAAAAGGAATACAGAGGTAATACTATGTAGGCTGCAAAGCCGAGCACTTCAAAGCTGAGAAACGCCAGTAACTCAGTTTCCCATGTAACCATCATTTGACTCCTGTGTGCACTGTAGCACAGTCTTCAGTTTCGTGGTTATATAGTGTATTTTCTATGAGCCATGGCTGCATTCAGCGTATGGACTGAACACCACAGAGAGCCAGAAAAATGTAGGTTGTTATTCTTACACATGATGAATAAGTACTAATAAAGTAAGTGAGACTCTCTATATGATATTCAGCAAGTAACTTTCTCTGGGTCTCAGTTTGCAGTTTATGAAGTGGACTGGCACTCTCACCTTTGTGTGACTCATTTTGGAACTTGAAGAAGAAAAGCATTAAATTACATTTTCAGGTATTAGTGATTACTTTCTTTGAACAGAGAGGACTTTGTGCTCTGCTTCCCAATACACCTGGTGCCTGATGTTTTGATTTTAGTTTGAACCCAACACTATACTAAAGCTGTTTGGTTGATTTAAGCTGAAATTAAAAGCCATATCTCAGCTGTGGCTCTGAACTGCTGCCTAAGCCTTTTGCTTTCCTCTTCTTTGCAAAGCATGGAAGGTGTGCAATTTTGACAGATACACATTTTTGTTGGGTTTATTTGTTGTTACCATGAAGTCACTTGAGAAATAAAATGCAAAACCCTTGTAAAACTTTAGCAAACTTGACTTTAGAGGTCAAGTCATCAGTCAAAGTAATAGCCGGGTTTATATGAGGTATCTTTTATTCCTATTATACTTGTTAAATGTAAACTTACTTACGCTTGCCTGAGTCTATGCCTATAGGGAATCTCCAGTGATGTGACTGCCTCGCAGAACTAGTGCAAACCTCCCCCAAAAGATGCAGCTCACCAGTGCACAGGGGATGTTTATGCTATGTTTGGGTTTTGGTGTTACCTGGTTAAACTGGATTAGTATTTGCAGTAGTGGAAAAAAGCGATTCTCAGAGATGTTAGTCTGTCCATCCAGCTGGCCATGCTGGTTTTCCCTGATGTAGCCTAGATGATTACAGCCCTCTGCAGAATACGTTGAGATGCAGCACTTGCGTAAACTTACACTGTGAAAGGAGTGTAAGCACTCACAATTTCCTGGCTGTTGAGTGTTAGGCTTCTCAGCCTTATTGTTGCTTGAACATACGTTTTCCAAAATATTTCTACAATAACCTTCTGCATTTATGTAACACCTTGTTTCATTGAAGCACTAAAAATATTCTGGAACTGTTAATTAAAATGAAAATGCAACACATTAATCACCCAATGAGAATTAAGAAATACAATACAATTTTTTTTGCATGTGTAATAATAGAAAAGTGTATTAGTGGTGTTGTGTTTGATGGAACTGTTAAATAATACATGTTGTGGTAGACTATCTTAATGCCTTGGGTAATAAAACTGAATGTAACAGTTCCAGGATTTCTCCTGGGTGTAATTTACCGCAGACATATGTTCTTCATCACTGTTTCCAGCAGAATGTTACAAATTGGAGGGGAAACAGAATAGACCAAAACATAATGGAAAATGATGCTTTTCAACAGAATGTTGGGTTGGGGAGCGTTTTGGGGGGGTGGGGTGTCTTTTTTGGCAGCTGTTAAAAAAAAGCTATAAAATATTTATTTTATCATCTGATCTGTTCATCTAGTTTTGTAGATGTCCACGTAGAGCTGTGTACAGCTACAGACGTATGCAAAAGTAATGCTAATAGAGCCACAGAGCAATTAAAAACCTGTTTTTTCAGCTGTGCCGTTCTCTTTGTTTCATCTGCAAATCTCTGTGGGAGCTTTGTAGAGCAGACCTGCCTTTCGGGGTGTGCTGTGGAGGCCAGCGGGCCAGCCCCGGCACTGCCGGGGAGCTCTCAGCTGGTGGGCTCTGCAACAGCAGCTGGAGGTACCAGTTGCACCTCCTCGAGCATAGGTGTA